AACCTGGGTGAATAGGACGGAACAAACCGCTAAACTATACAATAAGGGAACGTCAAGAAGAGCGTCAGTTGCTTGGTTCGCCAGGGGTCATTTTCATCAAATTTGACTAAGATCCCTCGTTGCTAAGCTTCGTGACACGATCATTTACTCACCGCCCTTCACATTTGCCAGGTGCTCCTGTGGCCAGGACTTTGGCCTGATGTTTGTGTCTAAGACAAGGGCTGGGCAGTTGTAGAGTATGGCACAAATGTATACAAATGTGAGGAATATTGAAGAATGCATGTCAGAGAATGGTGATAGAAGCTGGCAGAAAGATGGACGATCGAGATGTGCAAGCCAGATGTCCTTCTTGTGAGTTATGCTTTGAGTCAATGCTCTTCTTCTGGGCATTCTGAGTCAATGCTCACGGTGATTGTACGTTTAAGGCTTCGACTTCTACCGGTGCTTTTGACATGGACCCAATGGGGCGTGGAGGTGGCGGGTTGTTCGTCATCATGATTTGTCATCCAGATGCTCACCCTCAGAACTGCTGCCGCAGGTCTTTTGATCAGAGTAAATAGTGAACATGCACCATTCGCAATGGTCCTTGATGGCATCCCTGCATGTAGAGCAGTGTCGGCATTTTTGCTCGTCACAGGCCCATACTGAGATGCGCATCACTGCGGAAGGGCATGCGACGGAGCTGAAAGCCAAGGACGGACTGCAGCCACGATGTCGACGATGTGTTCATGATGTGTTCACAGTTTTTCCCCACCTGCCAGGTGAGGGTTGTTAGATTTTATCACAGCTGTTCTTCCTCCGCCTCCGCCTCCGCCTCCGCCTCCGCCTCCGCCTCCGCCTCCGCCTCCGCCTCCGCCTCCGCCTCCGCCGCCTCCTCGTCCTCCTCCTTCCTCCTTCCTCCTTGCTTCCTTCCTCGCCAATCTGCTTCGCCGATCTTGTCTGGCCAGCTCCGGATCGCAGTGTGCACCCCTGGACCTCAACCGCAAGGATCCCCTCGCAGTGTGCACCCCTGGACCTCAACCGCAAGGATCCGATCGCAGTGTGCAC